CTTTTGTAGGCTCTGCGGATCTTCGGAAATTAGAACGAGATCGTCGGCAAATCTCAGATGGTTTAGTTTCGTGCCGTTAACATTCAATCCATAATTTCTCCACTCTAGACGCCTAAATACGGATTCAAGAACTGCCGAGAATAGTTTCGGCGAGAGAGGATCTCCTTGCCTGACACCTCTTTTTATGGGGAATTGGTCTCCTACTCTTTCGGTTCGGATATTTGCTTTCATGTTCTTGTATATGTTGTTTATAAGTCGTATATATTTAGTTTCGACGCCTTGTGTTTCTAACGCTTCCCATATGCACGTGTGTTTAAGAGAGTCGAACGCTTTGTTGTAGTCCACAAATGCTAGATAATAGGTGATCCCGTATTCGTTACATTTCTCTATCACTTGTTTTATGGTGTGAATGTGATCGATTGTGGAGAAATCGCTGCGAAATCCTGCTTGCTCTCTAGGCTGGTTTTCATCAAGAGTCTTTGTTAGGCGATTTAAAATTATTTTAGAAAAGATTTTATACATATTGGACATTAAACTGATTGGTCTATAATTAGATATATCGTCTTTGTTGCCTTTTTTGTGTAGCAGTATTATTGTTGACGTACTCCATTGACTTGGTATATACTCTGTGGACACAATTTCATTAAATAGATCGGTAACAGTATTTAGGATTATATCTGATGTTCCGATTAAGAGTTCGTTGGATAAGCAGTCTGGACCTGGTGCTTTACCTCTTTTTAGTGTTTTTATAGCCTTATCCACTTCTTCTTTTAGTATATAAGGAATTTGGTCATTACTATTAGTGTGTCTATCGTTATGGTCATAATTTTTGTCAAGTGTACTTTCATCATTGTATAGACCTTGGTAATATTGTGTCGCTACTTCTAATATTTCATTTCTATTTGTTTTGTTTTTCTTGTCTTTGTGGTGTATCAAACTGTTTATCCATTGTTTACTTTCCCTCAATTGATCTAACGCTTTCTTCACTCCGCCTGATTTTTCTATGTAGTGATTTATTGTATTGTTTCTTCTGTCTTGTCTATGTATTCTAATTTGTCGGTTGATTTCTTTACTAATTTCTACAATCTTTTCTTTGTTGTGTTTTCGGTTTTCGTATAAAAATTTCCGTTGAGTTATCAGGTTTCTCGCTTCTGAACCTATTTTGTCTTTCTGCGAGTTGTTTGTTTTGCATTTGGTGTTAACTTTCTTTAATTCTTTTTCTAGCAAATCGTATTTAGTTTGAACATCAATGACATTATTTACCGCTTCTAAATTTATCTCCAGTTCATCTAAAATTTCTTCCTTGATTGGCAACATTAATGGTGTTCTATTGTTATGATGTATGTTTCTGCGTATTTGTGGCTCTACTAAGTAAACTTGTCCTCGAAGCATTCTGTGATCTGTATTATAGTTAAGTTGGTTAATAACGTCAACTTTGGAAAATATTTTTGGTTTGTTCGTTAGAATGTAATCTATTTCGTTTGTAATTCGGCCATCCGGCGATATCCATGTCCACTTTCTGCTGTGTTTTCTTTTGAAATAAGTGTTCATAATGCGAAGGTTGTGTTGTAGTGCGAAATTTATTAATCTTTGTCCGTTTTCGTTTCTCTTTCCTGTACGTGAGTGTGGTCCTAGTATGTTGTCTTCATTCTTAGTTCTTTTTCCGACCTTACTATTAAAATCTCCTATTACAACAACAGTTTTACTAACGGACGACATAATTTGATTGAGTTCGTTGTAAAATTCATCCTTTGCGTCTTTATGGCTAACCTCAGTTGGAGCGTATATTTGTACTATTGAAGTTGGATGTTTATAACCAGGGAGCTTTATATTTAAAATGGCGATTCTGTCTGAAATTCCTCTAAATTCAATTATGTTGTTTTTTAGGTATTTTTTAACTAAGAATCCTACTCCATATATACCAGTTCTCTTGTTAATGTGATATAATATATACTTGTCTCGTTCTTCTGTTTTCTCGTTCTCTCTTCTTACGTCACATAAGCCTATTATATCCCAGTTAATAGTTTCTAATGCTTTTTCTAATTCTACTAATGATTCTTCTGATTTCATCGATCTTGTGTTCAGAGTTGCTATATTAATTTTCTTTCTAAGTCTTTGTTTTGTATTTTCAGGGTTTACGTTTTTTGGTTCATGAGTCCTTAATACTACTTCATGTGTAATACTTTTTAATTCAAGCCTTTAGGGGTGTTGGTCTATCTCCCCTCGGTGACCAGCCGTATTGGGGATTTCTTTGGGAATATCTGTTGTTTTGTATATATTAGTTGCTATTCTCTCTCGTCCGGTGTCAAATAATTCCTATGCTTTAGGTTGTTGTACGCCTTTTTCTGTCAATGAATGAGATCGGGCTCGCATATAAGCGAATGCATCCACTTTATGCAATTTTGGTGGTGCTGATACGTTTTTCGCCACGTCTGTGGGACGAGTTGGCGTTAGAATATTCGCAGGTGATAGTGACAAATCTCTTTTTCTTTTCCCTTTATCTCTTGTTTCTTTGATTATAACTTTATTGTTTTTAATATATGCGACATTGCCTTTTTCTTTTTCTAGTTTAAGTTGTTGTTGTAAATTTTTACGCAGCGCTATAGTCTCCTTCGATAAATCTTCGGTTATGTAAATATGTTCTGGCATTTTAGATTTGTTTTTAAGGATTTCTATTTTCTTTTGGTAAGAAGTTAAAGCAATGAGTATAGGCCTTGCTTTCCCTTCTTCTTTACGTCCTAATCTATGGAATCTGTTTATTTCAAATTTACCCACGTGTATTTCTGTATTTTGTAAATTAAGACATATGATGTCATATAATTCTTTGTAATTGCTCTCGCTTTCTTTGATACCATGAATTATTATATTATTTCTCCTATTTGCGTCTTCCAAATATTTTATTTTTCTATTTAATGATTGTATTTCGAATTTTAGGCTATTGTTTTCTTCAATTATTGGTTGTATTTTATCGTCTATAACTCGCATTAAATTGGCGGTTACGTTCTCCGTAATTGTTACTGTTTGTTTTTCGAGTTCAATTTTCACCATTTGAAATAATTTAAAAATATCCTCTGACATGCCGCCGGTATCCATGACTCGATTTTAATTTCGTACTCTTCGTGAATCGAATCGCATAAGTTTTCACAATTGTCACTTGACGAACGTGTTTCTGAACGAATTTGTTAATATAATGTTGGCAGCTCGAATCAAATGTCAAATGTTTACTCACTCAATGAATTGAAAGTGTCAGTTAAACAGCTGACAGGTCGTCACTTTGCACAGTCACTGTCGATGAGCTCTTTCTTCCTTTTTTTTTCCGTTAACTGAAGTAATCGAAGCACTATTTCTTGCAATTATCTAAAAGTTTTCGTTGTGTGTTTGATGTTAAAGTGGATAATACGGTTTCTCTTGGCGTCCAAAACTTAGTATACTGCAATATAGTGTTGGAGTTTAATGTTTACTATTTGTTTTGTAATTAAAAACGGGAGCAAGCTATATAACACTGTTTACACTTTGACAACCGGAACCGGAACCTTAATAAAGGTAAGCTGTCTGCAATTATTTGCCACGATTTAATAATTTCGATAGGCAGTGGATCATCCCACGAAAGTTTAAGAAGCCATAATTTTTGTATTAATATTTTCNNNNAATCTGTGGAAGGTATTGGGGAAGACCTATGCCCAACAGTGGGCAGATAAAGGCTGATGATGATGATGTAAGAAAAACATCTATACATCGTCTTATTTTTAATTTCGGTGACATAGATGATATGATACCTGCCTTCAAGAAAACAGTTTTTAAGATTGTCTATCTAGCGGGCTAACCTACCACAGTTTGTTATCGCTATGTTAAAATAGTTTGAAAATATCACTAAAAAACAATTCTTCAACGTAAAAACATTTGGTAGTTTTCTATAAGTTGTGACGACTTAACGGTATACCTTGGCTAATGTCCTATCTTTTGTTTAATACGTTGAATTGGAAACCAGGTTTAAAACATCTGGTACGTACCTCGCTTATAGTGCGAATAAGAAATGTATATCTGATATACAGGGTGTGCTACACCTAGTATCGCAGGTACTGAAAGTATAGGAAAATCTCTATCGCTTTGAAGGTCTTAAGTTCAGATAACAATTTATTGTTCCAGACAATAGTATAGAGACATGCACGCCTGGCCATGAGTTTATACAAGGCGTGCCATCTCGTTGCGAAGGATGCAAGTGCAAAGATAACGGTCGATGGGCCTGCTGGCATAAATATAAAAGTTGTTCCGGTAAATGTGTCTATTTGTGTAATATTTATAAAAGTACAATCACCATCGTTCGCGGTACACCTGTTACAGAAACGTAGTACTCGTACGTTACAATGAAAGTACACTTCTTACAAATAAACAATACTGACTTAAGATGTTTGGATCCAATTTTCATATTAGTTAATGTCTAATTTTCAGAAATTGTTCCTGGATTACTGCCACAAAAACGTGAGTTTTAAGTTTCAATATTTTGCTTCATATTTAATTATTTAATAATCTATACTAATATAATAAAGCGTATACACACTCTTCTTTGTTGCCTAAGATGTCAGCAATTACAGCATATTTTTGAATAATTCTTTATTTAATAAAAAGCCCTACACTTACGTCATGCTTTAGGCTATATATTTTCACGCCAATAAACTTAGGGGTAAATATTTTAAATAAAAACCCTAATGTGGGCAAGAGACCATAAGTTGCTGCCATATCAAGGAAGCAAGATTGCTAAGGTTTGTCATGTCATGTCATTTTGACATTTGCTATTGATAATTTGACAAACGTAAACAGTATTACAATTTTTATATAATAATTTCATGCGGATGAAGCCGCACGGGAACAGCTAGTAATATTATATAGAGGAAAGATTTGTAGTTTTGTATGTATTCGATTCACGTCA